GGGTGGTCTTCGAACAAGGCGAGTTTTTACTTCCTGTTTACTTTACTTTACAGCCCTCTCAATATTGTTTAGAAAAGTCTTGGAAGAATCTAGAAGTGCTTCCAAGTTTGTGGTAAGTGTTTTTCAACGATCTGCCATGGTTTCTGCCCAAATTTCCACTCGTCTTCCAGAAAACACCTACTGTGACTTCAGTTCAGCTCATCGTTGATGCAAAAGTCTTAGATGGAGAAATGATTAAATTGCTACGTGAAAGGCTATGCTGTGGCACTTAAGTGTACACCAACACTAACCTACAAAATTTTATAAAAATGTTAATGTTAGTAGACAGATAGTATACACTGTTTTGTCGTTGCTCCTGCAGTGTCAGCACGGCAATATAGTCCCGCTACAGTATGATGATGATCTACTATACTGCAGTTGCTGCTGAGCACATCATCTTCAGACCCACAATGAGGTAACAAGTAGCCCGTACTACACGCTGACCACCTGGGGCTTTTCTTTCCTACCTACAACAGCCTGTTGAAGTAAACATTCATTGCTTACTGAAGCACTATAATGTTTCCTTTAATTAAGTAATAGCTGGTTGTGTTGTAGTGGGGATGATGCATTGCTTTTTCTCAAAAAGTCCGCCGCTGAATCGAAAATATGTCGACTGCTCAAGTGCAGGGTTTGCATTAGTGCAGTGGAGCCCAGTTCGTGTGCTATTCGTACCTCAGCTACCCTGGCTTCTTAAAACACAAAATCAACTCAAGTACTCATATAATCACGTTTCTCCAGGCCCGCATAATGAATATTGGCCTGCAGCAGCCGAGAGGTAGACATGAAAGAATAGTCTGTGTCCTCCGTTTGCTGAAAATATAACGAGTAGCCCATTTAATCGAGAAGTGATTTTGCAGAGGAGAGATGCTGCTGCAGTAAACCCGAGGATGGAACAATCTGGTTAGGGGGAATCACATTGGACAGACTAGGTGTGCGTAGATTTGATCCACTGAAATATCATCTAGTGTGTGTGTGTGTGTGTGTGTGTGTGTATGTGTGCGTGCGTGCGCGCTATTTAAAAAGTTAGGAGATCATGGATGATGCAGGGAGGCTTTTGTGTCTGTGCGCTGTGCGTCTCCAAACCAGGGCTCGCTGATAGTAGCTGCACAAAATAAGTTGTTCCCCCCCCTCCCAGCGCCCCTGCATGATCCACTCGCTGCATAAATATGATTGCAGATCTATCACCAGTACAACAAACAAACAAATAACGCAGACCATCACACAGACACAGTCTCGCGCAGGCACGCCGGTTCACAGTGAAACGGAGTAGGCATAATGGTGATGAGCTTACCACTTGGATTCTTGTTTTTCTTAAGGCTCTTGCCACAAAGACACTGCAGCATATGCGTTCCTTTGCTGAAAATGTTCCAAAGAAACCACATTGATTTGGGCGAAGAGCAATCCAGTAGCTTAAACACCCAGATATAGATGAGATCCTTGCGGTTGCATAATAACACAATTAGATCAGTTCTCCAGGACAAGGCTACAAATTGTATCATAGAAAAATAGGTATATCCAAGTCCTATGCGTTTTCATTCACGTGGGAAAATATTTGAGTATCTGTCAGACTTCGTAATAACGATGTGTTTTCTTCTTCTGGCGTATAAAGAATGCCTCCACAACTAGTCGATAATAGAAAATATACTCTATAAATTGCATGTGTCGCACCGGGAGGAGTCTGGCCGCCAGTAAACAAACACAACTAACGTGAAAACAATAAACCACGGTGGATTTCCAAGGAGAAAATCATTGCCTATTAGTTCATCACTCTGATGAGAGGAGGGTGGATCTGCACAGCATCAAACGCCAAAGGAGGATGCATCCCATGCACAGACTGCTGCAATGATAGCCCCAACAAAACACCACATTGCCGGATCAAGTGGTTTGTCCTATAAGCCAGCTTGTTTGGTGAGGTCAGACAACGCCAACCTCGGGTTTCATTTCTTATAGTCCCATACAGCAACGTTTCTGTTAAAGCCAGGCTCGGGTTCTTGTTGTGTGTCCGTGATTCCTGGCGTGTGCGTTTCTTCCCTTTACGGGGTATTTTCCTCAACCCTTTTCAACACAACGCCACTGGCATCTCCAAAAGTACGGTGCGCCTGTATGAAAACATTTGTATGAATTTCCTCTGTTCGAAATACTGACGAGGAGGAGGGGTTAAACTGAAAGATTGGCTTTCCATTACGTAAACACGTGGTTCCTGCGCCGTCATATCAGTGATGCTCTCGGAAATTTTTATGATCCGACTGAAAATGATGTCCCAAGCAGGCTGAGCTTGAACTCTTAAAAAAGGCAGTGTCTCTGAATTCCATTTTCTCCATTTGAGCACTGCATGTCTACATTTACAACTGTGGTCTTTACACCAGTTCTTACTGATGTGTCATGTCTTTGCTCACAGTTCCTTAAGTTGTAGCAGCTTCGTGCATCCAGAGGGGTGCTAATCCAGAAATTGTGCAGAAAAGCTCTAAAGTCACAGGTGTTAGGATTCGCGTGGTGTAGGTTGTTGGGGATGTCTGTGTGAGGCTTTGTCAAGTGATCAGTGCTGATCAGAGCCACAGAGTACTGAGAGCCTGCTGCAACAGAACACTTGTAGTTCTGGGCTGGGCTGAATGAATTGATTTCAGCATTTGCTGCAGAAAAAAATGTATTTAATAAAAATGTTAATGCAGAAAAGCAACATAAAACATTCCATAAAAACTATTTGGTTCACTGATAAACAAAAAAAAATTATAATAGAGCCACATTTTCAGAGCAAATTACATTATTTCTTCTGTAATAGTATTGTATGTTTTCTTAGCTTTGTTTTGTTCCGTTATCCCTGAGGACAGAGCCCGTTAGTGTTGCTCATGACGACTGTTTCCACTGTATGAGTACTTTTCTCCAAGGATTTAAAGATTTTCCATCACAAACCAAAGGAAAAGGAGATATTGTTTTCCCCTCACTGTGCAGGCAGAAGTTGTGAAAAGACAAAGTGTGTGTGTACAGATATAAAGGACTGTTTTTGCACCAAAGACATTTAATTTATTGTACCCGTGGTGTTCAGCATTTTTCTGCTGAATGTGTTTTCCATACTTCTTATCTAGGATTTAATCACTCTTAGATCTGTCAGTGCACAAATGGCAGAAGCCAGTTTGTCCTCCACGGTTTGGAAGTGAACCCATTAGTTGCTCAGGTGTTAGATAGCGCTATAATGTTTGTTAGGGTACAAAACAGGGGCAGACCTAGAAGGTTTTGGTTGGGATGGCCAGGCTGGGGCACAAATTCACAGAGGGGTAGCACACTGGAAATATCTATAAAAAGTCATAATAAACTCCTAGTTCTATGAAATAATAAACCATACATTATTTTGAATCAAATTGTTTACTTTGTGTACAAGTTAGACTCTCATAGTGCTTTATTTAGCTAACTGCCTATGTGCCCTGAAGTAGCCATTTGTCCAGATCAAAAATCAAATAAAAAAAAAACTATCAAAAGACTACTGATGCACCATCAGACTAGTAATGTACACAGGCAAAAGACGTCCACAGTCCACGTGTTTCCCAAGGTTTATTCAGCTTTTGTGAGCAGGCAAACAAAAGAACAAAGAAAACCCTGCCTCATGTTGCTTCTCATGCTCTGGTAAGATGGTAAGAAGAAACCACAACCTGTTACCGGTGCATGCCAGTACTGTGTCTGTCTAACTACCTATAAAGGGCCCACAGTGCCACCAGCACTACCAAATTATCTCTAAAATAAACCCCAAGGTAAATTAAACGACTAATAAAGAACAAAACAAGCAAAGAAAAATAACAAAATACTGTCTAATCTAAATTAAACAAACCTTTTTTATAATTATGTCCCTTTATGGACAATTAGTGACATGTTTGGGTTGAACTCTGCAAGCAAGTGGGCAGAACAGAAAAAAAAGTTGAGGTTTGTTTAAAAAATAACCATAGCACATGAGGCTTGACAAGAGGGTTCTGTTGTGTGTTCATCCCTGAATTACAGCATTAATCCACTTTAATGACCTAGTTTTGAGGTGCCCAAATCTTGTCAGTTCCCTGTGATAACTTCCTCAGGGGAAGCGGACCACTTTCAAACAAAATTATTCCTGATTGACTTTCTTTACACTGCATTATAATTTTGCTGCATCATTGCTAAAAGATTATCCGCAAACAATTTCTTGCTGATTGTAAGGAGTAGTCATGAACCTTTCGTTTACCTACTTAGCATATGTTGTGCAGATGCTAACGCATTTACTGTGCACACACACTTCACAGGTACATGCAAGTTAATTAAGCAAGCACTTTACAAATACAAGTAAAAGTAATGGCACTGTTTGCATAAATTCCTCATGAAATGTGATTTGATCTTCACCAAAGTCACAAATATCAACAAACACTATTTCTAACACTATTTTAGAGTCTTGAGACTCTGTGTCCTCTGAGGTCAAATGGACTAACTGTGGTATCAGCACATGTCAGAACAGTATGTTGCAGGCTCTCCAGTTTTCTCCCACTGTAGAGGCCTCTCATGGGATCTTCTCTATTGATCCGTCTGCTGTAATGTGAAGTATCATTGCACCCCGGAGGATATTGTCTGACAATTGTGTCAGGGATCATTTGTGTACTTCTTTTTGACTGCCCAGGCTGCGGCCAGCAGGACATGGCTCCCAGCCCATTTTCTTCTGATGGGGAAAAGCAACTTCATTTAAAATGCACAGAGATGAATGGACTGGTTCCAGTTTTACTTGTGGTCTCTGTGGTTTTACTGAACATATTTAAAAGACTCACACACGGTGGATTGTGAAGAGTGCATTAAAGAGTGTTATTATATGAAAGGACACATGTCACATTATATAATCAGAAAAATATAAGAGCATTTAGAGAGTTAGATGATAATAGAGGCTTTTAAAAAATTAACCTTTAACTTAAAAACTGTTTGCCTTCCTATTTTTATGGGCTGTTTCCTCCTAATTAAATCATTGATCAAAGTTTACATAAATACATCTGAAATGTACTGCAGTTTCTACTAAAAACTAATATGCATCATGGAATTATGAAATGACTGTGATTTTATTACCTGCTAAAATACACTGGATGCCAGTTCATGACACAGATTAGATAGTATACTGTAACATTTTACAGTACTGAGACTGGAGGCAGCTGTGGCTCAGGAGGTAGATCAGAGCAAATTACATTATTTCTTCTGTAATAGTATTGTATGTTTTCTTAGCTTTGTTTTGTTCCGTTATCCCTGAGGACAGAGCCCGTTAGTGTTGCTCATGACGACTGTTTCCACTGTATGAGTACTTTTCTCCAAGGATTTAAAGATTTTCCATCACAAACCAAAGGAAAAGGAGATATTGTTTTCCCCTCACTGTGCAGGCAGAAGTTGTGAAAAGACAAAGTGTGTGTGTACAGATATAAAGGACTGTTTTTGCACCAAAGACATTTAATTTATTGTACCCGTGGTGTTCAGCATTTTTCTGCTGAATGTGTTTTCCATACTTCTTATCTAGGATTTAATCACTCTTAGATCTGTCAGTGCACAAATGGCAGAAGCCAGTTTGTCCTCCACGGTTTGGAAGTGAACCCATTAGTTGCTCAGGTGTTAGATAGCGCTATAATGTTTGTTAGGGTACAAAACAGGGGCAGACCTAGAAGGTTTTGGTTGGGATGGCCAGGCTGGGGCACAAATTCACAGAGGGGTAGCACACTGGAAATATCTATAAAAAGTCATAATAAACTCCTAGTTCTATGAAATAATAAACCATACATTATTTTGAATCAAATTGTTTACTTTGTGTACAAGTTAGACTCTCATAGTGCTTTATTTAGCTAACTGCCTATGTGCCCTGAAGTAGCCATTTGTCCAGATCAAAAATCAAATAAAAAAAAAACTATCAAAAGACTACTGATGCACCATCAGACTAGTAATGTACACAGGCAAAAGACGTCCACAGTCCACGTGTTTCCCAAGGTTTATTCAGCTTTTGTGAGCAGGCAAACAAAAGAACAAAGAAAACCCTGCCTCATGTTGCTTCTCATGCTCTGGTAAGATGGTAAGAAGAAACCACAACCTGTTACCGGTGCATGCCAGTACTGTGTCTGTCTAACTACCTATAAAGGGCCCACAGTGCCACCAGCACTACCAAATTATCTCTAAAATAAACCCCAAGGTAAATTAAACGACTAATAAAGAACAAAACAAGCAAAGAAAAATAACAAAATACTGTCTAATCTAAATTAAACAATACACAAAGCAACCAAACACTCAAAACAAGTACTAATTATCAATAACACTAGTGTTCTACACTTAATTATGTCCCTTTATGGACAATTAGTGACATGTTTGGGTTGAACTCTGCAAGCAAGTGGGCAGAACAGAAAAAAAAGTTGAGGTTTGTTTAAAAAATAACCATAGCACATGAGGCTTGACAAGAGGGTTCTGTTGTGTGTTCATCCCTGAATTACAGCATTAATCCACTTTAATGACCTAGTTTTGAGGTGCCCAAATCTTGTCAGTTCCCTGTGATAACTTCCTCAGGGGAAGCGGACCACTTTCAAACAAAATTATTCCTGATTGACTTTCTTTACACTGCATTATAATTTTGCTGCATCATTGCTAAAAGATTATCCGCAAACAATTTCTTGCTGATTGTAAGGAGTAGTCATGAACCTTTCGTTTACCTACTTAGCATATGTTGTGCAGATGCTAACGCATTTACTGTGCACACACACTTCACAGGTACATGCAAGTTAATTAAGCAAGCACTTTACAAATACAAGTTGCAAAGAAAAGCTATAAAAGCTAAAAGTATAAGTCTATGTACCATCATGGTAACACTTTAAGTCCCCCTGTTGAGCATTCATATGTAGTAACACAGTGGTAAGCAGATATCAATGTGTAAAAGTTGAATGATAACATAGTGGCTTCATAGTGTCATTGTGCCTGCTTAACACTATATTATAGTGTTTTGTATACTGCATACAAATGCCAAATAAGGAATTTAAAGTGTTAGCAAGATCAATATGGCAATTTAATCTAATGATGTGAAACAGTGGTTCTAATACAGGGGTATGACAAACTGTAATTGGACTGGTGGTATGTTACATGCATATTAGCATCCCACTTTGCTTTACTGTGAGTTCCTACTCACTGGTACTTGGCTAAAAGGCAACACCATATGTGATGTTTAAACATCGGCTCTAAAACCTCTCCAGTGCACCCACATTGTGACTAACAGGGCAAAAGGCCAATAGAAAAAATTGAGAAATCCCACACACATAATAACTCCTCTTTAAAATCTATTCCAACCAGCAATTTTGATTATTGCAGAGCTAAGAGCAATGATACAGTGCAATTAGATGCCCTTCACTGTATAAGCAAGCCAGCCTGAATGAGTACAGAGCCCTAGTTATACAGTTTAATTCAGGAAATACAGCACAATAACAGTTTCATAGTATGCACGTTAACAGAGTAGAACTGCGACAAAACCATCATCTTTATAAAAATATGCATGGCAAAAATTCACAACTACTTCCAAAGACAAAAAATATTGTTTTATATGTTTTTTAAAAGATGATAAATAGTTTTAAAGAACTTGCTCAGTGGTTTTCAATGGAACTGAGCCAATCTAAAACTTAAATAACCTGCCTCTGTCCTCACAGTAATGAATATGTCTTCAATTATGTGGAGTCTTGTCACTGTAAAGGGATAAATCGCCCATCATGAGCCCTTTTCTTGCTCGGTGAATGGGCTGTACTAATTTTAGGCCACCGACTCTCCTCCCACCAGACTTCGAGGCTCATGTTCAATAAACCCTGTCAAGTTTCATAAATATCAGGAGATAAAATCAACTTTGGTGTAATTTCAAGGCTTTAATTAATCTAATGGTGTTTGTGACAGTGTAAGGATTGGCATTCTTTGTTCCTCTGACAAGTGACTTTTTCCTCTCTATTAAAAGCCAAAAAAGCTCCAAGACAACCTCGATTTCATTGTGGAATTACAGTATTGTCTGTATTTGGAGACACTTGTCACAAAGGTGTTTGGTTATAAAGGTTCACAGTTTTGCTTTGGGGCAAAACAAGAAGTGTCTTCACTGAACAGTCACCCAAAGCATGAGAAAGGGCCCACATTCAAAAAGAGTGGTGAACAATAGCAATGAATGCTTCAGTGTTCACTCTCCTAACACGTGACGACGCTGGCCCTTTCATAATCAACATGTTTGCTTCCTTATCTTGAAAACACTTGAAATTTTTAACATCTAAGTTCTGATTACAGTTGAATTTGATCTTTTGCTTTTAACAACTTTGGTTTTAAGTCATTCTTCATGTTTCTCTCAGAGAGTTGCGTTGCTTTACTCGACAGTATATGGTTGTAACAGTGCAGTTACATAGTCGTGAAGCTTCAGTCCACCAGAATGTAAAGCTCTATACAGCCATGCAATTGATTGGTTCCTGTAGTGCCAGTAAGATAATCAGTATGCTTTATCCTACTCATCTGGTTCAGGTAGTGATATGATCAGGTTATTTTGAGTGCTAAGCATGAGGTGGAGGTTTCCTCATGAACTGCTTCACTTCACACTGGAGGGTCCCGTTTCTTTGGAATATTCGATCTACCATATTCAGTGACTGTGAACGCTATCAGATGTTTTTTTGGAATATTCGACCTACTATATTCAGTGACTGTGAACGCTATCAGACTGGTTTACTCGATTTAACATCATTTGTATTAATTAATTCTGCAGTACGTGTATACCTAAACAGGTATTTTTAACCCTATGGTGAAAAATAATGTTGTGTAGTCCATAATATATGTGTATGAATAATGGTGCTCTTTACACCTTTAGTGTTTTGTTATACTGTTGAATATGGTGCCTATCGGCAGTAGTCATGGCCTCGCATCCCCTTTGTTACACATACTGTAATGTCTATTTATCTCATTAAAACGATTACAAAAGTGGTAATACAGCTTTCAAATTCACATTATCCTCTCCATGACAGCAGCCAAATGTCATGTCTCAGATTTTGGAGCATTCAAGTGCTCATGAAAGGCAGCACAAGTCAGCTGTAGACTTTCAACAGCATTAACACACAACAATAAGAAATATGGATCACAAGCTAGTTTTAAGTCTCTTTAGTTTCCATACCAAGTTGAACATAACTAGAACTTGAACACTGTTCATTCTTGGTTTTGTTTAGCTTTTTTTTTTACCTTTATTTTTTTAATTTGTATTTCTATTCTCCGTTTCCAAGTCACTTGAAGCCCACCAGATAAATAACAGGATTACGCATATGACTTCAGAAGACCATATATCTCCATCATATTAAACAAAAGTTTTTATATTATTTAGACATTTTTGACCAGGACAAAGCATGAGATAGAGGCACATATGTTAAAAACAGCAGGGAATAGCCTGTCTGATGTGTAATATTTCAGAAGAGTTGTTTGCTTTTTGCAAGTTTTAAACCAACATACTGTACAAGAAGGGGGACCTTGCCAGTAACCAAGAAGCTGAGATGTTCAGAAGAGGTGAAGTTGCCAAGGGAAACAAGAGAACATTTATAGTTGCGAACAGAACTGGGGTTACATTTAAGAGGTTAGAAATCTGCATTTGTATTAGCTTACTGTAGTTGATTAATCCAGCTTGTTTCGATACTCACTTCAATCTGGCTAATTTCTTTTCTTCATAACTCATTCTACTGTTATGTAACAGCACTGTGGGCCTGTGTAAAGGCTTCATCTTTTATTATGTATACCCTTTCATGGCACAGATCTATCAGCAATATAGGCCTGCATGGGTTTGAGTACTAAAATGGGGCAAACTTTCTACATCCAGGAGGAAGTGCACCATGTATGCACCAAACTGCCATCAAAAGAACCACTTTTAGAGGTACAAAGCGTATTTCCAAGTCAAAATATCCATTCCTCTGTAGCTCAGCAGCATTAATGGAGCAGCACAGCTGAGAGTACGGTGCCTTGGAGTCGTTACCTATTCCACCATCCATTAGCTGAAAATTGTGTTGACTTTAAAACTACCTTTTATGTATCAACTGAGAAGGGCTTTCAGAATTTGTTAGAGTGGAGGTTTTGTCACTGTTAACCAGGGGAACTGTATGGGAATTAGTTTAGTTTGGAGTTTCACACAAAGGCGTATAACACTGCCACATTAAACACTGAATGCTGTGTTTTCAACAAGTTCTGATATGACTAAAGATTATTCACAGTCTTCCCTATCATACCAGATACTACAGCAACAGAAGAGTCCACTCCAAAAGAAGTTATTAGTGTGCCTACAAATCTTGCTAATGTCTGTTTCTATGTATTAAAAGGTCATGACAGCATTTGTAATCCCTTATCAGTGCCAATCTGATAAATGGTCACTAAATATGCAGAGAAAATGAAGCTTTTAATTGTTCTCATCCAGTAAAACCTATTCTGATGTGGCATTAGAATTAAATAATGAAATCCATGAGAAAAAATTGTTCTTTTTAACAACAGATTGCAGGTGACTGTTCAGTATTCCAAACAAACAGGCTGGGAGCCAGTGTGAAGCAGCCACCTCTAAACACAATCTTCTCAAGGGACCTGTTGCCATAGTCATTTTCCATCACACAGATTGTAAGAAAGTAAGACTTGATCCTGACCTTGGGGAAATGAACAGACTCCCAGTGATCTCACTGTGATTTTGGCCACAGGCAAAGACAAAAAATATGAGCTCTGAGGGGAGTCCTGGTATTTGTCTCAGTCAGTGAAGACAGGGCGGCCGACAGGGGAGCCAGTGTTTCTTTTCAGTGGCTTTAGTGCAATAAACCAAGTAAAGAAATGTGCAAAAGCTACTTGAAGTTTCCTTAAGTTCATTTCTACATATCAAATATTTGTCTCATTTACAGCAGTTATGTTGTGGGTCAATTTGACCCGCAACATAACAGGAGGGTTAAATTATTCAGTATGGATCCTAACAAAAAAAACTTCACCACCAATGTTAAAACAACATTAGAAATATAACAAAATTATCTTTGGCCTTATTTGGCCATATTTAAAGTGCTTCCAGCCCTGCAAATGTAATAGCTTTATTTTATCCTTCTTGTTCTAATATTTATACGATATATTGTTTCCAACAGATCGTTATCTTTACATAATGCATCTTGGCACTAACATCAAAACTGGCTTTGTTTGTAAAAACAATACATGTACAACATGCACACACGCAGGTTCGGTTGTGTTGACGTGTGTAGCAGGTCTTACTGTAATCCCCCTGTCCCAAAGCGGCTGTTTCCTAGCTCTTATTCCCACAACAGTGCAAATTGCACTTCCCTGGGATGGGTAGCATCCGCAGCCATTTTCAGTAGCTTGTGAAACAAGTTTCATTATTTTAAATGCATAAAATAATGCATAATTAATGAGGATACTTGCATAGTTTACAGAAAGCATTTGGTTTTTCCATGTTTATATGATTTTTGCTCATGTTAAAAAACAGAAAAGCTGCATATTGGCTATTATGAATAGAAGACACGAAGTAAATGATTGCATGAACATTCGCCTCCTTTAAAATTACACACATCAAGCATAGCTGATTAAACCTGATATTTTTATATGTGGTATTGCATATTGAATATAGGTGCAAATATGGGGGGGGGGGGAACATTAATACTTGATAGTTAAACTACTTCAAATACAAAGAACGATTCCAGACAAACACACACCAATTTTACTACTAATGAGTCAAGAAAAAGACACAAGAAAATTTCTGAAGCACTATCCCTCAAAATATGAGGTCAGTGACTGTGACACAGCTGAAAATGGGCCCACAGCAGAACAGTCTTTGTGTATGAGGGCAACCAGTGTGGGGACCTCGTGGTGGCCACACGGCTTTGTGCAAATAGCAAATTGTTTTTCTCTGCGCTTGAATATTGCAGGTTCTCTCTTTGTCTGTGCAGATTTCCTCCAGGTGCATCAGTTTCTTGCTACAGACCAAATATGTGCATGTTAAGTGAATTACAGACTCTACTGTATATTGCCCAAATCTGTAAATGTGAGTGTGAATGGTTTTACCCTACCTCTTGTCCAGTGTATTCTGGGATGGAGTCCAACATCCCCCACAATTCCAAGTCAGTATAGCTAATGGATGCACAACGCTTGTGAGGGTTAGGGGTCAAATGAAGCGTGTAGTCTACAAGGGAAACAGCAACAACACAACAATCTCAAACATAAAACCACAGTTATACAGAAACCTCTTCAAAACAACATGAAGATCTCAGAATTTATTTCTTCTGATCAGTGTCAAACTAATCTTAATTACAGTACATCATGTACTGGAGTGAACAGTACAAATAAATGTTATAACTTGTTGAATGTTTTGTTTATACAGTCATGTGAAAAAATTAGGACACCCTTTGAAAGCATGTGTATTTTGTAACATGTTTTAATATATGGTTATTTAATCTCAATTTTAACAATACAGAGAGATTAAAGTAATACAACTAAACAAGTAAAACTGAAGAAAAGTCTTTTCAAGATCTTCTGTAAATGTAATTCTACAAAAATGCCTATTCTAACTGAGGAAAAACATAGCACACCCTAGCCCCTAATAGCTAGTGTTACCTCCTTTGGCTGAAACAACTGCAGTGAGACGGTTCTTGTAGCCATCTACCAGTCTCTGACATCGGTCTGAGGGAATTTTACCCCACTCCTCAATGCAGAATTGTTTCAGCTATGAGATGTTTGAGGGGTTTCTTGCATGTACAGCCCTTTTCAAGTCACCCCACAGCATCTCAATGGGATTCAGATCTGGACTTTGACTCTGCCATTCCAGGACTCTCCATTTCTTCTTTTTCAGGCAGTCTTTGGTTGATTTACTAGTATGTTTTGGGTCATTGTCATGTTGCATGGTCCAGTTCCGCTTCAGCTTTAATTTTCTAACCTATGGTTTCACATGTTCTTCAAGCACCTTCTGATACACAGTAGAATTCATGGTGGATTCTATGATGGTGAGCTGACCAGGTCCTGCTGCAGCAAAGCAGCCCCAAACCATGACACTTCCACCTCCATGCTTCACAGTTGGTATGAGGTTCTTTTCCTGGAATGCTGTGTTTGGTTTACGCCAAACATGTCCTCTGCTCTGGTGTCCAAATAATTCAATTTTGGACTCATCTGTCCAAAGAACATTATTCCAGAAGTCCTGGTCTTTGTCAACATTCTCTCTGGCAAATGTCAGTCTGGCCTTGATGTTTCTCTTAGAGAGCAAAGGTTTCCTCCTTGCACGCCTCCCATGCAAGTTAAACTTGTGCAGTCTCTTTCTGATTGTAGAGGCATGCACTTCTACATCAACAGTAGCCAAAGCCTGCTGTAGGTCTCGAGATGACATTTTAGGGTTTTTGGAGACCTCTTTTAGCATCTTGCGGTCTGCTCTGGGGGTGAACTTGCTGGGGCGACCAGACCTGGGCATGTTGGCAGTTGTTTTGAAAGCCCTCCACTTGTAGACTATCTTCCGGACAGTGGAATGGCTGATTTCAAAATCTTTTGAGATCTTTTTAAATCCCTGAATCCCATTGAGATGCTGTGGGGTGACTTGAAAAGGGCTGTACATGCAAGAAACCCCTCAAACATCTCATAGCTGAAACAATTCTGCATTGAGGAGTGGGGTAAAATTCCCACAGACCGATGTCAGAGACTGGTAGATGGCTACAAGAACCGTCTCACTGCAGTTATTTCAGCCAAAGGAGGTAACACTAGCTATTAGGGGCTAGGGTGTGCTATCTTTTTCCTCAGTTAGAATAGGCATTTTTGTAGAATTACATTTACAGAAGATCTTGAAACGACTTTTCTTCAGTTTTACTTGTTTAGTTGTATTACTTTAATCTCTCTGTATTGTTAAAATTGAGATTAAATAACCATATATTAAAACATGTTACAAAATGCACATGCTTTCAAAGGGTGTCCTAATTTTTTCACATGACGTATGCTTCAGTATTTATGATCTTTTTTTTTTTTTTGAAAAATACAATAAGTATTGTTGCACTAAACATTAAATTCACAGTTTATCATGGTGCATGAGAAAAGGTGAGGCAATCATTTATTACATTTGGATCATTGTGTGAGTGATATGATTGTTCATTCTGGCCTGAGATTTGAATTATTAACAGTAGTGATATGAGTTGCATCAAAAAATTGTCATACCCAGCTCTGGTCAGTAGGAGGAAGTGTTGTAATGTAGATCCATTCATTAAGTCTTATCACCTCAATGGGATTCATTCAACAAATTTTTAATGATGAGCTTTTCTGTATTAAATTATCTGGAAGATATTACACATTAATATAATTCAACATGATAACACAGCACAGTATACAATAATATACGCTACAGTGTGTGTATTCATTTGAATTTAAAGTATTTTTATCACTTTAAATAAATCTAAATAATTGTTCATGATCCGGCATGGATCTACTGTGTTGTTTATGGCAATGGATCTTCATTGTGTGTCTTCTCTATAAACTGTTTGTAATGAATGCGTTTGTTAGATGTAAGTTTCCAAGTAACTGTTACCAAGGCTGTAATGGTCTTCTAACACCAGCGGGAAAATACAATAGCTTACTTCCCCATGACCTCGTTATTTGAAGTATTTTTTTCAATTAAATATAATAGTTCTACATTCTGTTGAATTATTTCACTATCAGTTTAACAGATCCATTAAACGTTTACTCTAACAAGTGTTTATAAATTAGTGCCACTTCTCATCTTCCTTCCAGGGATGAGTAACGGTTTAAATGAGCACAGACACACTGTGAAAACTTACTTTGTATTCCATTTCATTTTGAACTAATGGTGTCTTCACAGAGCTGCTCACTCTCTTCACAGTCTCCTCACTAATTAGCCTATCTCTATGCCTGTATGCGTTTCTGTGTGCGGAGCTTGCTAAACAAGTTCATCGTTTGAAACCATTCATTCATCCCCCCCTCTCCAGCTGCTGTCATGGCAACTGTGTATGACTGGCAGAAAACAGACTGCTGTCTCTGAGCTCCGGTTAACCTGGAGGGTTTAGAGCATAAACACACTCCTGGGCAGATCAAGAGCTGTGATATTGAGACACCAGGGCAGCCACAGACTGAGGTGAGTCCAAAACGCCTGAGGGGACTGGGTTTGCAAGTAAACTGTCATATGATAAACTCTGGACCTCAGCATTTATGCAAAGTGATACATCATTAAAATGAGTGTTTCTTTTTCTAGTAGCGGTGGGGGGCTTCTAGTTGCCTTCACAGGACAACAATGCACCATCGAGCATATCAACCCCTGCTTCCCACTGGGAACAAATACCTTCAGCAGAAATGGGACAAGACTTTGTATGATTTGCACAGGAGTAAGGTTAGGAGCAAAATATATTTGGGGTTTGATTTAATAACTTATCATCCTGATTTGTTCCTATTATCCTAGATTCTAAAAGTCTTGACCTTGAGCTTTTATTCTAGTCACAAGTTAATCAAATTAAGTATTTTCTCCATCCAGTTAGTGTATGTTGAAATCTCAGTACCTGAGACAAAGTTGCATGTTTTGTTTGTTTCCCAAGGTGAAGTCAGCTAAACCAACAGTAAACATGACTCCACCAAAGACCTATGGTCACCTGGCTGTTAAGTTGAAGAAAGAAAAGGTTGCTCTTCATCTCTCATGCTATCAACTCAACTCACTTCATGTCCTTAGGGTTGCAGCAGATGTCTGATATTTGAAACCATCCAGTGAAGTCTCAAACTAAGAAAAAAAAGTCAAATCAGAAAGTATTACCAAATTAAATTAGAAATTAATCACATAGTATAATTGAACTTCCATCCATCCATTTATAATTGAACTTCAAGTGATTAAATGCAATAACAAGGTTCTGCAACAATTAGAAATCTTTTCTTTTTATGTGTCTTAAAAACTAGCAGCTCTTCCACCTACTCTAACTACATTGCTTTTTACTTTAATTATATTTTATTGTATTAAGCTCAGAGAGGATTGGACAATGAAGATTGAAAGGGAAAATGATATGCTCATGAAGAAAATATCGCACATCATGATGACAACAGGAGGAGTGGACAACAGGAATTATTATGACAGAAAAAGGTTAGTTAAGGCTTTGTTTTGTATTCAAAGTGGCAGAACCACCAGTGTCAGGAAAAGTACAAATGTAAAGTCAAGCAGTAAATTGTATTGCCAAAAATGAGGTGGCCTTGGAAACTAACTACCCAGTTGCACAGCCTGATGTTGTTCCTCATTGCAGCCTTGGGAAGGAGAAGCAACAGCTGGAGTTACTCCGTATTACCAGGGAGAATCAAATGATTCTGTTCCGTCTGAGCCAGTGCAGACCTCACTATAATGTAAGAGTTTGGCATGAGGACTGGCTCAAAACTCTTAATGTGATGGACAGCATTACACGTTACCCACACAGAAGAGCAAATCAGCAGAAGGTTGTGGTTTGTTCACTGAGCACAATGCACACTGTAGATTTGCATTCAACTACTAAACTGTGTTACGATCTTTACAGTATACCATAATAAATATTTCATTTTATGTGTCATACCAGAAAGAACAAAAATTGAGCAAGCAGAGCAGTGATTGTGATGAAGAACAAAACATACGAACTGATACAAACACATACAGCCCTGCAAGCAACAAGACAAATGGTGAAGCAGAATCTGAGGAAACTGAAAACTGGACAGAAACCAACAAGAAAGTGGAGATACAGCAGGACACAGATACACAGCCTTTTTCTGGATTGAATGGACTTGGGAAATCCATCTCACCAGATGCTTCTGAAAATGCAGGTTCTTCTGACACAATTCAAATTACAACAGATAAACACCCACACTCTGTTGAAAAGGTTTTTCCTCCTGATGGAGCTGAAATGTCCAATACACCTCATACACCTAAAACACACAAACAGGGGACCACAAGCACAGATGAAGGATAAAATACCCTGTTGTTTTAGCAAAGTTATACTGGAACAGTCTTAACTTCAGAACTGGACCCAGATATTGAATGGTATATATGAGCCTTAGTACAAATCAGTGCTTTTGGCTGTGTTCTGAGATAATTTCATAAACAAAATACTTATGTTGATCTGTAGCCTAAAATTCACAAACAGAAAGCCAAATAAACCCTTGTAATTTATTTGATTTTTTCATGACAAATAAAAAGAATTTTAAAATGAATCAAACAGATGTGTGTACATATGGTGTTTATATTTGTAAAATAATTTTGCAACTATCTACTGTGAAAAAAGTGGAAAAAAATGTTAATGTGGAACTTTATATCCAGTTTCCTTACAGCCCAGTTTAGCAGAACAGTTGTTGGACAAACAAGATGATGGCTGCTTTGAGGGCCATTTACATAGGATTCATAAAATCAATATTAGAATTTGGGTGTATGGTGTTTGGATCGGCAGCAAACACCACGCAAAAGGTTTGATTATATTCAAGGCTGTGTACGGGTGCATTTAAAATGACTCCAACAGCAGCACTGCAAGTGAAATTGGAGACATGCCACTTGAAATGAGAGGGACACAAATATCATTAAATTACTGGATTAATTTTCAGGGCCATAGTCCAGATCATCCAGTACAAAGCACCTTATAACCATGCTGGGATAGGGAGACGAGGGAAACAAAAATGTTTGAATGGACAGCAACAATGATGGCACAACTAAGAATACTTCAATTAAACTTCAGTCTAATACCATCTCAGCTACTTACTGTTGTCACAGTAGATTTTACATACTAGAAACAAAGAAGAAAGATTAGTTTATTGTCAATTAGTACACTATTCAAAATAGGCAAAAATAACTGTGGAAAAAAGAAACAAGAACATGTCACATTTTTGGGGGAGGGTTAATAACTTCGTGATCCACACTCCTTATCAATCCGTGGCGCTATTTCACCAATGTGTATTTAGCCAACCTTCAATGGGCATCACGAAGAAGACGAAGGAACCTACAGTAGCCGCGGATTTGAGTTTGCGCAGCTAGCATGCTAACAAGTACAACATTTGAGTGTACAGTTTGATATACTATTTTTTCTTTCTATAAGAATGATATGCCTTTGATAGTCAGAGCATAAGCTTTAAAATCAAAATGAATCTTGACAGTCTTCGAAAGCGAGTACGGCTGTACATTGACCAGGTAAGAGCTGAATTTCCATGTTGCTAGCTAGTGCTAACTTGTGAGCAGCCCTGCCGTCAAAGGTTTGCCTGCTTGGCTAACGTAAAGCTATCTCCGAGGAAAAACTGTTAAATCGAGTGCCTCTTACGCTTTCTTTCTTTCTTTCTTTATGTGTTCACAGCAACAGTATCAAAGTGCTCTGTTTTGGGCCGACAAGATAGCATCCCTTTCTCATGGTGAGTTAGCGTCGTTAATGCTGTTTATGACTAGCGCGTGTGTGATAGCTACTTACCAGCTTGACACCTAAAGTTACAAAGCTAATGTTAGTAGGACTGGTGTTTTATAGAGACAGTATTAGTGTTTTGCCTCTTTTCTGTTTTTACCGTTACGTACTAACAGTAGCCACGGCACATAACAGTAGTTTGTCAACAACTGTAGACTGTAGGTCCTGGCTCTTACTGTTGCTGAGTAGCTTGTCAGGGATGAGACACTAACGACTCTTTGTGTGGCATACAGAGGATCCCCAGGACATTTACTGGCTAGCGCAGTGCCTTTACTTGACCTCACAATACCACAGAGCCTCCCATGCCCTCCGTTCACGAAAACTTGACAAGGTAATTACGGGTTATAGGGGAGCTATTGATATATGCAAAACAATTTGCTGCCAAGTCAGTGGTAATATGGATATTTGTGAGGATACTATGTGTAATGTGTGGAATAAATCAATCACAACAGAGTCAGAAGCATAACCTCCCTTAAGTCAGTCCCCAAACTGAAACATTTTCTGAAACGTTTTCTCTTGCACAGTTGTACGGAGCTTGTCAGTACCTTGCTGCTAGGTGCCATGTAAGTAACTGAGAAGTACAGCTACTGTATCAGTTCTAAATTCTCCCCTACATGTTTATTAGTTGCAGGATATCATACAGAGAAATGTGCTAGGTATTTTTGATAATTTGTGTGTTGTTTGTTTGTATTAAGTATGCTGCCAAAGAGTTCCAGCAGGCCTTGGATATTCTGGATGCTGAGGAGCCAGCTAGTAAGAAGCTGCTGGACAGGAGTGTAAAGGAGGACAGTGGAAAACCAGACTCAGCTAAGGACTGGGACATGTCCCCTGCGTCTGTAAGTCGTTAATAGAAAAACAATGAATACAGTTTTCTTGAATCAAATCCTCAGCATTGCTCTGTGATGTTTCTTTGATAGGGAACACAGCCTGCCTAAAACTATTCACATCAGCCAGTGGCTAATTTGTCTGCTCAAACTTATATACCTGCTGTACTGTTACTACAACAAGTTTTTGTTTATGAAATAAAAAGTAACAGTGCATTAATGTTTGAAAAGGCTTGTTTTTATTGCCTGTTTGCTGCAGAGGTTGTACTTACTTTTCACTTAAGATATATGTCATTTTCCCACAAGTGTCCAAACGTTTGTATACAACTGTATGTCATATGCTGTTGGCATAAAATGTTTTTGTGTCCGGATGTGAATTCTTTCAATTTGCTGCCTTGGTTTAGTTTGTGTTGTGGATGGAGCATTAACACTACATGAAATTGTGAGTAATATCCTGGATATGTACTATAAATTCTGACCTCTGCCCTCCTTTTTCTGTTCTCCTTTCCTCTGAAATATTTCAGATCAACAGCTCAATCTGCCTCCTACGTGGTAAGATCTATGATGCCATGGACAACAGACCACTGGCCACATCCAGCTACAAAGAGGCCTTGAAACTGGATGTGTACTGCTTTGAAGCCTTTGACCTTTTAACTTCCCACCACATGTTGACTGCACAGGAGGGTGAGGCCAATCTAATCTGTGACAGTGATGTGCACTGGTTTTTAATCTTTTACAGATGTGTGCCTTTTTTTAAAATAGTTTCGATAACTTCTGTAATGGTTGTCTATGTGATACATGTTGTTCATTTTTCAATAGAGAAAGAGTTCCTTGACTCTCTTCCTCTGAGTCAGCAGTGCATTGATGAAGAGGAAGCGCTGCTACACTTCCTTTTTGAGAACAAGTTAAAGAAGGTAGGGGAGATCTGTGTTTAGGCTTTAAATTATAATGTAATGCTTTTGCTCATCATTGTGAGTGTAAGGCTGGTGATATTTTGCATTTTTCTTGTTAAGCAATTTTATAAAAAGACTAAAACCAACAATGAATTGACCAAACTAACACATATTGTCTGTAGTTAAACCCTGATTTATCTTATTCCTCTGTCATGGACACATTGTTGAGCTGTTGAGAGCTGCTGTACCAGAGTCAAATTCCTTGTGTCCAACACACCTAGCCAATAAAGCTGATTCTGGTTGTTGTTGTCTAAAAAAAAAATTTTAAAACACAGGGATGAGCCGCACTGTTGCTCTGGATGACATGCTCTTTCATTATAGTCAGCATGGGCACTGTAGTATATTTTAGGTCAGTCCCACATACAACATCCTGCTTTATTGTTTAATATTAGCACATAGACAGAGAGAGCTGACTACCAAATGGTGCTGTCAAGCTTCAAGGTTAATTAGTATTCAGTTAATATTAATAAAAATGCAAATGTATGTTGATTACTTGGCCTGTTCTTCTCCTGGCCTCTTTTCATCAGTCTCCTTTCTGTGACCTTCTTTTATTCATTGTCCCACCTACTCAGATGTAAGCCCTGCACCCACCTTTCAAACACATGTACTAATACACACACTCTCTACTTCTCCTTCCTACTGCAGTATAACAAGCCAAGTGATTTGGTGGTGCCAGAGATGGTCAATGGTCTTCAGGACAACTTGGATGTAGTGGTGTCTCTTGCTGAGAGGCATTATTATAACTGTGATTTCAAGATGTGCTACAAACACACATCAATGTAGGTGTCTACAGCTTGTTTGTTGATAATGTTTGTAAGTTTGTCAAATTATTCTGCAAATAGTTTAAAAATTTGCTTCTCGGAATGTGGAGCCTACATCCACTACACCAACATCATATACTGTAACATCACACAGTTAAGAGATTTCTCAGCTGTTTAGACAATGTGTTGCTTGCTCTACTGCAGAGCTTTGCCTATGCTTCACACCTTACTGTGAAATTTATTTTTAATGGATAATGTCATTTGTGTCTCTTGTTTCATCTAGCAGCTGCCGCTCTCACCAATGTCCAAATAGTAGTAGAAGAACAGAATTTAGCTCAGTGTCAGTATACGAAAGTTAAAGGACTACTTAATGCAGTTCTGTTTTTGTATTTCAGGGTGATGGTTAAAGACCCATTCCATGCCAACTGTTTACCAGTCCATATAGGAACTCTAGTGGAGCTTGGAAAAGCAAATGGTAAAATAAATACCAACCACTGATCCACACATAAAAATGTGTAGTTTGATTGCTTTACCTGCCCATCATTATTCATGTTCAGTGGTTAATTCTGCTCTGTTTTCCTTGCAGAGTTGTTTTACCTCTCGCACAAACTTGTCGACTTGTATCCCAACAACCCAGTAAGTGTTGTTATTATATCTCTTTGACCTGTTTGCCTACTTTTCAGTGTTTTAAGTTGAAATAAAAACATTTTACTAGGTATCCTGGTTTGCTGTTGGATGCTACTATCTCATGGTTGGCCATAAAAACGAACATGCTCGGCGATATCTTAGGTATGTGTTTGCTCAAAAGGAAGTACAGTGATGTTTCGGAATGCATTACATCTATTTTTCAGTTGAATATACATGGGTTGTACATCTCTTGTAGTAAAGCCACCACCCTTGAGAGGACATACGGTCCTGCATGGATTGCCTATGGTCATTCATTTGCAGTGGAGAGTGAGCATGACCAAGCCATGGCTGCCTACTTCACTGCTGCACAGCTGATGAAAGGGTAGGTACCTCACTGACACTTCCTAGTGTTCTCAACTCCATGTATTTTTATAAGTGTATTTTTTAGAGTTCTCCCGGGCAAAGTTTTATGTGAAAAAAAAAATCCCCAAATCATAGACAAAGCTCATCTGTTTAATCAGCTGATGTTCTGTGAACACTCAGTTAAGCACTGCAGCTGAACTGTTTTATGTTGAGAAGGAGATGATGCAGGCACAAGC